ACAAATGTGACAGGGAAAAGGGAGGAATGGGAGGGGGGAGGAAAGGGAAAGAGGATATGGGGAGGATGGAATAGGGATAGGGAGATTATGGGATAATTAGGTTTGGTCTGAGGAAGGAGGCTAAAAGGTCTGTTTCCTCAGACCAAGAGCCTCTTCACCACATCAAGGAGGCCCCCTTGAAGAGGTATAGCATACATAGAAAAAATGACGTACTCATGTCAAGTGTGCCATAAGTTTACCTATAAAAACCACCACATTCATTTTTGGTAACATCACAGCACAAAACAGGAGTGTAGGGTTTGGGTTCTTCATACATACATACAGGCTTTGTAGCCCAAACTTTCTCGAAGAGTGTGAAGCCATTAGGAATTTTTTTATTAAATTGTATTCTTCATCCTTAATTGTAGAAAATGTTGTATAAAAATCTTGAACTGAAAGAAGAGTAGGTACAGTGCATAATTTTCCCCTACAGGTAATATCACCTCCAACTGCACGAAAATTTTGAACTGAGTTTGTAACAAAGCCATTGTAAACTTGTCTGTCTGTGACCTCATAAAATGGCACAACATTAGCCATAAAAGATGAACTAGTGTCTGAGATTTCTTGTCATGGACGCACCAAAGATTTGTGGGAGAAACTGCCAGAATTTTAAGTAAAAGAGGCAGTAAGCATAAATAAGCAGCCTAAACCAATGCTAAGAGCAATGTTTGTGTTTAACATAGAAATTCACAAACCCATCTGATGAGATTTTCTGACCAAGTTTGTAATGAAAGAAAAACTGTGATCATGGCATCCATCACAATCACAGAATCAAAACTGCTTCCAGTTGGCAAAACCCTTGTATATATAGATATTGAAGCATTGAAGCAGTTGTATCACTACAAACTATCAACCATTACTGCTATCAACCATTACAAAAATGGATATCACTACAAACTATTAACCATTACCAAAATGGATAGTTTTAATTTCATACACAGCCTCTGGTTATGCGGAGCATTTTGGGCAAGATTAAAACTAACAAGACAAAAATGACAATAAACATTTCACATGTACGTATGTATATAAAGACAATAAAGATATACACAATAAAATTAATTCAATGAATGACAAAAATGTATAGATACATAGGTATGTAATAGCATGGCATGGCAGTAAGAAGAATTGTGTTAATTCACTCAAATAAGTTCTCTGGTACAATTTTTTATAACATTAGGCAATGTTCAATTCAGTAACTCAGATTCTAGATGCAATTACTCAACATGCCCACATATCTCCAGATTAATCTAGTGTTGACCAGTAGTCCTACTGCAATACTGCTCTAGTATTTATCTAGATGGAGATAAATATACACAACTGTCAAGCAGAGAGGAAAAAAGACAGTTGCTGAGCAGAAGTGCCTGTGTAATTATAGACTACTTCTACCCTCAACTGTATGACCCTTTTGGGTCTAGCACTTAGTTTTGATAGTAATAATAATTCTCTCCTCTAATGTTAGTCTAATTTACACTTGACTTTGTTCGTCTCTTCTGCCTATGCACTGTGTTACTACCAGGTGTGATCCATCAGACTTGATAGTCTGATGTTGTGCACAGGAAACACTGTCTTTAAGTTTCCAGTTGTTGCTTGTCTCTTACCAAGTGCAACTTTTCAGTATTCTCATCCCATCTAATGTTACAAGTTTCTCCTTTATCTTGTACTTATGTACAATGTATTATTTGGAGTATTTCTTCTGAGCCACTCCAGAAAAGCAAGAGTAAAAAAAAAAAAAAAAAAAAAGTCTTGGAAGCAGAGAATGAAGTTTGCATTTGTGACACTGACCGATAACAAGATGGTTTCACTGGTAATAAGTTTTGTAACCAGTACAATAAACCATATATTGGTTATTCACTCTTAACTTCTTCCCATGAAGTAACTCCATTCCAAACATAATTTTGAACTAGATACCTTAAAAGTCAGTGAGTGGCCAGCAGAGATAAATCCAGGCATTGGAGGTAAAAATCCATTTACAAATGTTTCAAATTGCTATTTTTAAAAGCCATCACAGCATATAGAAGCTTAACAATTGTGGGCAACATATTCCACATATTGGAAGCTTTAAATTGGATTCTCAGAAAAGTAATTCCATTCAGTTCTTTTCAGTATGAACAAGGCTTCAACAGCAGGAACCTTATTATGACAAACAAAGTTTAGTCTGCTGATCAACTATGCAAGATCCCTTGTTTAATAAACTTTACAATCCTCTGATTCAAACCTGGACACTAGACGACTATACACTAATGGCTTGGCTATTATCATTGAGCACCCGATACACATTCAGCACCTGATACACAAACTCAAGGAACTCATTCTGGACCAAGTTTATAAATTTTGATAATTTCTCAGGAAGTGCTGAAGTTGAAAGTGAATCTATATAAATTGTTTTGAGACTGTAGAATATTGAAAACCTACTAATCGCCATTATTTACATTTTTATGGATACAATTTTGCACATACGAGATGCTGTCAAAAAGTTCCTGGAGTGCCATGAAAAAAATATAGGATTATCTCATCATGTAGTTGAAAGTTGTCTCCCTTGTATTACTCTCCTTTGGAAACTGTACACTGATTCCAGTGTCTCTGCCACTTCTTGAAACATTTCTGGGACTCTTATTTCCTAATGGTATCTAGTGAGGCCTGCAGCTTGCCTGAAATCTCCTCCATGTTAAAATGCTGCTCCTTGAGTGCCATTTGTATTTTTGGGAAGAGAAAGAATTCAGAGGGGAGTAGGGAGGGTGGGAGACAACCATCATGTTGTTTCTGGCCAGAAAATGATCTTTCTTCTCTTGAGTCAACAACCAGGGCACAGATTTTGCAGCCACTTGCCTTGTATTTAAATTCAGTCAAAATACTTTGACACAACCCATAAGAATGTCCTGGACACACTGACAGCAATCTTCATGAATAACCTTCCAATGCCAACATTGAAAACAATGTTGGCATTTTTCCTCAAGTTGATTGGCAACCAGTGTGTTCATTATCCTCAACTTGATGTTCGTCCTGCTTTGAATCGAGAAAACTTTTCAAAACACTGTCCGGTCCATTGTTTCATCACCAAATGCTTGCTGAAGCATTTTGTCTCACCACCTGTTTTACACAGCTTGAGACAAGAGTTCACAAACACATTTTTTTTATTTAGATTCTGACGACTGTAAAAAAAAAAAATATGCCTGTCAGACCTCAACTAAATGATGACCATGCTGCTTCACAAATGGGTGTACTGAGCAGCATGATCTGTGCCGCTGCTAAATTTCACCCAGGAAGTGCCCCTTAATTAGAGTCCAGGAACTTTTTGATAGCACTTCATACACAATTCGTTGCCCCAAAAAATGTCAGTTGGTAAAAAAATTGGAAGACCAGGAACAAATGTCTGATCTTTACATTCATCATTCATATTATGATACAAACTCACAATTGTGTAGTTTACTAGTTCCTTGTGCTGATATGTGGTGTAATTGGTGTTAGACTAGTCAAACAGCCTACATACACCTGGTGAATCACTTGCCATGGTTTTCAACTTGTTAACTTTTTTTAATCATTCCAGTTGTTAGTTATTTTCATTGATCATATGTGATGATGTATATCTGATGATGCTTGAAATGTTGCATCTTCAACCTTGGACAATATCCTTATATTTAATATTAATATTTCCCTAAAATTGGTCAAATTTCAAAAAATTTCCAAGTTGCTTAGTGTTTCCCAGATCCCTAGCTTTATTGATTCTCAGTGCTAGTCTGCCACTTCCTTTCCTCCCCACATCTGAGTAACACTTTCAAAATGAGTTTCCTCTTTTGTTTCATTTAGCACTACACCATTGAAGACATTCAATTATCGTATCACAGGTGCTCGGACATAACAGTTTTAAGTGATCCACTGAACCACAACATCTCTACCCATCTTCCAGTATGCAGGCACTGTCCTACTCACCTCCATGACTCAAGTCCAGTAAACTGGTTCTAGATTATCCCCAACAATAAAAGTCCTTTCTGCCTATCTCATATTCTTACATGACCCATCATCCTGACCCTTCATTGACAGCAATACCCTTTGATCCCATTGTTCTTGTATTCAGTAGTTTTCAGGGTCTTCCTTTGGTCATACTTACTACACTTCTCTTCATTCCTGAGCCTTTCCATAGCTGTTTCCCTCACTACTGTGGTCCTGGAGGTCTGTGTGGCCACCATAGCCAGAATTGAAGCTAAATATCTAATTTTAAATGTAGTACTGATAGTTTTTTTATGCTAAACAGCTGATGTTCCCTCCAGATATCAACAATTTTGATAATTCTTGTGAAAGACACTTCACTTACATGGCATCTAGGATAATGGAAAGTTTCTCTGCGAGAATGCATGTAACTACAATTTCCTTAACAGTGAGGCTTCCTCCCTGGCATATAAATGTTGGAGGGGAGGGAGGATCACACCAAACTAGGATCAACAATCATCTTTCTCTGCTTTCTAGTCTCAAGTCATGTTTTTCCCTCGCAAATGGTGATGAAATTTGCTCAAAGCACCTGGTTACCCCACTCAATCTGGCCTAGTTTATATAATGGGTGTCTCCACACTACAAAGTAGAAACTTGTTATTCAGTTAATTACACTGGTGTATATATAATAAAAACGAGTTTCTAATGTTTTTATAACTAAGTGAAGTTTTTTAAGTGGTGTGTCCTCTTAGCAATCAGTGTCATTAGCTTGTCATTTCAGAGATTATTGATGAAAAGTTAGTTTGTGAAATGTGCACATTATTGTGTGATTTTTTTTTAGTGTGTGTGTGTGTGTGTGTGTGTGTGTGTGTGGTGTGAGGGGAGATGTGTGTGTGAGAGCCTGGGGGTGTATGTGAGAGAGTGGGTGTGTGTGTGGGGGGGGGGTGTTTTTATGTGCGAGAGATGGGATAATGCAAGAGAGGAAGCATGTATGCTGATGTGTGACCACTGCACTACTCTTCTCTTGCAAGCTGCAGTGGTAGGAGGTGGCACCGACTTCGACGTCAATCCTTTTGCTGACTTTGGCGTGTCAGGCACCCCTACTCCTTCCCTTCCCTCTCAGGGTGGTGTCAGTTCTCAGGACACCACCACCACTACCAGTGGCGCAGCTGATCTCTTGGGTGGCTTGGACCCCCTGGCAGATGTTGGCGGCAGTGGTCCGCCTTCCCAGGCACCCACCATGCCACCCGCTCAGACCCAAGGTGACAACCACACCATCACCAATGCTGTCACACCCACCCACCCATCCCACCAACCTTGTCCATAATCTTTCATCTACCATGACAGCCACAATTACTACCTTTTGAGCATTCACCTTCATTCATACAGAAAGACTGTCATAACATTCATATTGGTGCATCCACCCATACCATTTTATATTATTATTAGTAAAAATTAACCTGTCACATACATACTAGTGTTTCTTACTTTACAATAACATTAGTTTACATTTGGATGACATTATTTTATAGTATTACATAGTGGTAATAATGACACCATTATCACTGTGTTTACCAAGAGTCACACCATCATTGTAAATGCATTCTGTCTCAGTAACCTTGACAATGTTGCACCCACCATACCAACAGCCTTATTATAAACATTATCCCCACAGTGGTGGTTTAACCATCCTGACTTGAACCCATAATGTCAGTAATGGCATTATATCACCATAACCCCCTTAAATACTCTACAATCATCACTGTTGTAGTATCCTTCATTAATCACCCAATCACTCATAGCCACTCTTTGATACCCTTTCTAATTGTAATTAATCTACACTAATCACTAGGTCAGTTCTGAAGCACTATACTTCTCTTATGTTATATTAGTATCTCTACCATCACTCTTATAACTATCACTGCTTGTTTGCCTGGCTGCCTGCCTGCCTATATTATGTGCCCAAACATAAACACATTACCCCAGTTGACATATACAATATGGACCTTCCCTTCTAGACCCATTCTCCATCTCCCTTCCATGCCAGTGCACCATTAATATTGGTAGTTTTGTATACATGCACTGCCTATTTTATTATGGGCATTGTAGTTGTATTCATGATCATACACAAGGCATTACCATCACCATCTGGACCAGAAATGGACACCTGCGTTGTGTGCGTGCACGGACAATTGACATCACATTACCACTACCATCAGCATTTTGATTAGTTAAAGCAAATGCCCATTTTTCAAGTATTTCCCAGTAAGCACTGTGCTGTCATGATGCTGACTCTGTCATAGTTTGTGTGTGCATCATTTGCACTTGCACGCAGCATGAGTCACTTGGCACTGTGCAATGCCTTCAAGGCTTCTGTTAAAACACACTTCAGCCACACACAAATCTTTAATGTTTTTGTATTTAATTTCTGTCCATGTGTTTTATGTTGACAGATGTTATCATTACAGATTGGTCACAATAAATAGCAAGCAAATTCATTAGTGTCCAAGATAATTCTGGAGGCGATTATCCTATAAGTAATACTTCATGCTGCTGCTGTTGCTGCTGCTGCTGATGATGATGATGCTGTTGATATTGATGATGAAAGATTACATTACCTTGAAAAACTGAGCCTTGGAAGTTTTGAAACCTTAATTCTCTCTCATAATTAATATAAATTTTTCATAAGCATTATTGTTTAAACATTTCATCTATATTGTCTCTTCTGTTTGTATGCATGTCTTCAACCATACACTGATAACGAGTTCCTGAGTTAACTGTTAGCAGTTAGTACTAAGATGTATACGTTGTAAGTTTACTGGAAAGTTTGTTGGGACATGCATATGCATTTGTTGGTAGGAGTTGGAAGAGGCAAAATGTCATAGTAAGTTGTTGTGTACTGAACATGTATTGTGCTTGTACTGACCATTAGTCTATTCTACATGGCTGCTGCTGCTATGTTTTGTTTTTTATTTGCATGAGTACGTTAATTTTGCATGCTTACTGTTAAGTTTACAACTATCTCACTGTTTTTTCAGACCTGAAAACGCATTGTATTATTTCTTGTGAAAACAATTTACTCCTTGAGTGTCTTATTATATACATGTTAATCAGTCTTCAATCTTGTACATTGAATTAGTATTAAGAAATTATTCATTACAAAGAGTCCAGTTTTATTCTTATAAGAAAAATTCATTACAAAAGAAGTGTGTAGGTGCATTTGCTGCTAGTTTTAATAGCTTATCTATTGTTGCTTTGGAAACTTAAAACTACTTGGGTAGATGTTAGATTAATTTAGCTGTGTGGAAATATATGCATTAATCTTCTGAACCTACCACAGCATTTGATGGATTTGGGGACATTCTGAAACCTGAGGGAAGTGTTGGTGGTAGTCCAGCAGCTACTGTTGTTGGTGTAGCAACCACTGTACCATCTTCGCAGCCTGGCAAACTCATCAGCAGTGATTTAGATATGTCCTTATCATCTCTGGTTGACAACCTCAACATTAAGGGCCCTTCAGCACAAAAGTGAGTCAGAGAGTATTTGAATTATGAGTTATGTGAAGAACCCCACCAAGTAGTAATATTTTTAGCAGGAACTTTTTTGGGTGTATTTAGGCAAAGTTAGTGTCATATTAAACTACTTGAATAAATGTTACACTTTAATAACTGGAAATAATTGGTCACAGAGTAGAAAATATTTTTCCCTCAGCTTTTTTATACATATCACTTTCAAAGTCATACATTATTTTATAATGAACACTATTATCCTTTGTGTGCACATTACTGGTTTTCTTTACATCATAGTGTGCGCTGATGAATCATGTGGATAATTAACATGTCTCCATATACACTGCCTTTCCAAATACAGCAGGGCCCCACTTTACGGCGTTTCACTTTACGGCGTTCCGCTAATATGGTCATTTCAAATTATGACCAAAACTAGCTATACGGCTCCCCCCACCTGACTTTCTAATACGGTCACCGTGCCCCACCCTGTTTGTTTACATTCTTCGTGAGCTCAGTAAGCACTAAGTCTCTCCATTTTGTCTGGAAACTCCAAAATTTCAAACGTTTTTAAAAGTTATTTCATATTTTATATATACTTTGCTAATTATACTTATGTATACCTGTACTTAAATAAACTTACTTACTGTGCTGGCATGCAGGTACACATTAAAATCAGTAAGAGTGTCTTATGTCTCCAGACGTCATATTAGTAATGATGATAATAATCACCGAGTCTCATTTAAATGTCGTATATTACGTTAAATACACATCTTCATTAATCCATCTATGATATTTTTTCAAAATTATATAATAAACACGATACATAACATAAGATGATAAATACACCCCACAATAGAATAAATAAACATAAATAGAGATGTCTAGCAGACGACTTGCACAAGTGACGCCATATAAAATGATAATAATAATAATAATAATAATAATAATAATAATAATCATCACCGAGTCTCATTAAATGTTGTATATTACGTTAATATACACATTTTCATTAATCCATCCATGATATTTTTTTCAAAATTATATAATAAACATGATACATAACATAAAAAGATGATAAATACACCCCACAATAGAATAAATAAACATAAATATGAGATGTGGTAGCCAGATAACTTGTACAAGTGATGCCAAGAATAACATTTTCTCTAATCTAACATAAGAGAAAATGTGTTACTGGGGGTAACTGTAGAAAATTATTCCTTTCGTATGTATGTATGTAAGTTTATTCAAGTATACACAAATAGTTACATAGACGATCATACATAACAACAAATGTGTAGAGAACCTAGGATAACCCAAAAAAGTCAGAGTGACTTATTTCCATTGCCTTCACTCAGAGCATCATTCTTCTCAAAATGATGTTACATGAGAATGGGAGTGTTCTTCTTTATTTATTCTACCATATCAATGTAGAGACAACCTGTACACAATGTAACTTGTACACAAACCAGACGTGTACACTTTGTTTACAAAACTTACCTTCGCCTGGTTTGTTTACATAACTCTGCACCTGTACACTCTCATGCACTCATTCTTTCTCTCTCTCATTTATTCATTTTATCTCATTTACTTACTCCTGACCCTACATTAAGACTACAAATATTTTAAGGTAAGTAATGAGTGAACTGTATATACATTTTATCACTCTGGGATGCTTAAATGTAATAGAAATTATGTGTAGGTGGGTTGGCCTGGTATGATAGCCCGGCTGACTACCATACATACCACACTTGATTTTTTACAATAAATACTACTCATCTCACCCTATATTTTAAGATGAGTAATGAGTGAACTGTATATATATTTTATCGCTCTGGGATGCTTAAATATCATAGAATTGTATGTGTGGGTGGGGTGGCCTGGTATGGTAGCCTGGCTGACTACCATACATACCACACTTGATTTCTTACAATAAATACTACTTGTCTCACCCTAGATTAAGACTATAAATATTTTAAGGTAAGTAATGAGTGCACTATGTGTGTATTGTACTTTTTTATTGTTTTTTGATGCCTGGTTCTATTGCTAACTTAATATATGTTAGTGTAAACTTGTTATCTAGTGTTTGTATGCATTTGTAAGTGGAAAAAAAGGGTGTTCCACTTTACGGCGGTTTCCGCTTTACGGTGGTAGCCTGGAACCTAACCAGCCGTATAAGTGGGGCCCTACTGTATTACAGTCATAACACTAGAGGGGCCACAGATATATCAGATCACTTTCTAGTTGTAGCTACACTGAGAGTAAAAGGTAGATGGGATACAAGGAGAATACAAGCATCAGGGAAGAGAGAGGTGAAGGTTTATAAACTAAAAGAGGAGGCAGTTATGGTAAGATATAAACAACTATTGGAGGACAGATGGGCTAATGAGAGCATAGGCAGTGGGGTCGAAGAGGTATGGGGTAGGTTTAAAAATAACAAAAAAAAAGCACAATACCGTGACTGGAACGATACACAAATAACCCGCACATAAAAGAGAGAAGCTTACAACGATGTTTCGGTCCGACTTGGACCATTTACAAAGTGACTTTGTAAATGTTCCAAGTCGGACCGAAACGTTGTCGTAAGCTTCTCTTTTATGTGCAGGTTATTTGTGTAGGTTTAAAAATGTAGTGTTAGTGTTCAGCAGAAGTTTGTGGTTACAGGAAAGTGGGTGCGGGAGGGAAGAGGTGCGATTGGTGGAATGATGATGTAAAGAGAGTAGTAAGGGAGAAAAAGTTAGCATATGAGAAGTTTTTACAAAGTATAAGTGATGCAAGGAGGGAAGAGTATATGGAGAAAAAGAGAGAGGTTAAGAGAGTGGTGAAGCAATGTAAAAAGAGAGCAAATGAGAGAGTGGGTGAGATGTTATCAACAAATATTGTTGAAAATAAGAAAAAGTTTTGGAGTGAGATTAACAAGTTAAGGAAGCCTAGAGAACAAATGGATTTGTCAGTTAAAAATAGGAGAGGAGAGTTATTAAATGGAGAGTTAGAGGTATTGGGAAGATGGAGGGAATATTTTGAGGAATTGTTAAATGTTGAAGAAGATAGGGAAGCTGTGATTTTGTGTTTACCTGGAGAGAGTTCCGGGGGTTAACGCCCCCGCGGCCCGGTCTGTTGTGAGTGTGGGGGAAGTTCGTGAGGCAGTAGGTAAAATGAAAGGGGGTAAAGCAGCTAGGATTGATGGGATAAAGATAGAAATGTTAAAAGCAGGTGGGGATATAGTTTTGGAGTGGTTGGCGCAATTATTTAATAAATGTATGGAAGAGGGTAAGGTACCTAGGGATTGGCAGAGAGCATGCATAGTTCCTTTGTATAAAGGCAAAGGGGACAAAAGAGAGTGCAAAAATTATAGGGGATAAGTCTGTTGAGTATACCTGGTAAAGTGTATGGTAGTTATTATTGAAAGAATTAAGAGTAAGATGGAGAATAGGATAGCATATGAACAAGGAGGCTTTAGGAAAGGTAGGGGGTGTGTGGACCAGGTGTTTACAGTGAAACATATAAGTGAACAGTATTTAGATAAGGCTAAAGAGGTTTTTGTGACATTTACGGATTTGGAAAAGGTGTATGACAGGGTGGATAGGGGGGCAATATGGCAGATGTTGCAGGTGTATGGTGTAGAAGGTAGGTTACTGAAAGCAGTGAAGAGTTTTTACGAGGATAGTGAGGCTCAAATTAGAGTATGTAGGAAAGAGGGAGATTATTTCCCAGTAAAAGTAGGCCTTAGATTAGGATGTGTGATGTCACCATGGCTGTTTAATATATTTATAGATGGGGTTGTAAGAGAAGTAAATGCGAGGGTCTTGGCAAGAGGCGTGGAGTTAGAAGATAATCACACATAAAGTGGGAGTTGTCACAGTTGCTCTTTGCTGATGACACTGTGCTCTTGGGAGATTCTGAAGAGAAGTTGCAGAGGTTGGTGGATGAATTTGGTAGGGTATACAAAAGAAGAAAATTAAAAGTGAATACAGGAAAGAGTAAGGTTATGAGGATAAAAAGATTAGGTGATGAAAGATTGGATATCAGATTGGAGGGAGAGAGTATGGAGGAGGTGAATGTATTCAGATATTTGGGAGTGGACGTGTCAGCGGATGCGGATGAGTCTATGAAAGATAAGGTGAATCATAGAATTGATGAGGGGAAAAGAGTGAGCGGTGCACTTAGGAGTCTGTGGAGACAAAGAACTTTGTTCTTGGAGGCAAAGAGGGGAATGTATGAGAGTATAGTTTTACCAACGCTCTTATATGGGTGTGAAGCATGGGTGATGAATGTTGCAGTGAGGAGAAGGCTGGAGGCAGTGGAGATGTCATGTCTGAGGGCAGTGTGTGGTGTGAATATAATGCAGAGAATTCGTAGTTTGGAAGTTAGGAGGTGCGGGATTGCCAAAACTGTTGTCCAGAGGGCTGAGGAAGGGTTGTTGAGGTGGTTCGGACATGTAGAGAGAATGGAGCGAAACAGAATGACTTCAAGAGTGTATCAGTCTGTAGCGGAGGGAAGGTGGGGTAGGGATTGGCCTAGGAAAGGTTGGAGGGAGGGGGTAAAGGAGGTTTTGTGTGCGAGGGGCTTGGACTTTCAGCGGGCATGTGCGAGCGTGTTTGATAAGAGTGAATGGAGACAAATGGTTTTTAATACTTGACATGCTGTTAGAGTGTGAGCAAAGTAACATTTATGAAGGGATTCAGGGAAACCGGCAGGCCAGACTTGAGTCATGGAGATGGGATGTACAGTGCCTGAACTCTGAAGGAGTGGTGTTAATGTTGCAGTTTAAAAACTGTAGTGAAAAGCACCCTTCTGGCAAGACAGTAATGGAGTGAATGATGGTTTAAGTTTTTCTTTTCCGGGCAACCTTGCCTTGGTGGGAATCGGCCAGTGTGTTAATAAAATAAAAACACTAACTAAATAAAATTTTCCAAATTTCAAAATGTTTGTTTCAGACTCTGAGCTTCATTACTGAACCAAGCAAAGTCTGACCCATAACCAAAAGCACATGTATCTTAAGTTATTTAATAACTTAATAACAAAATTAGCATTTCAGCAGGTTGTCCACACTTACTTCCATTACCAGTTTAGTTTCATATCGGTCAGTTTTAGTTTAATATCTTTATTATTATTCACCCCAGACTCAGCTGTAGTCAAAAGATTATGGAGGTACATAATGGGTAAAGGAACTGGACCCCAAAGTTTTGATAGCTGAACAAGTTAGTGGTAATGAATTATTTCCGTGTTTATATCTGGTTGCAGTAGTTACGAGTTAATTATGCAGACATGAATTATGATACACTCACATGCACGTGTGCACGCACGCATGTACGTTTACACATACTTAAGTGGTGATGTATTATTTATAGTGGACAAAGCCAGAGTGAATGATGGTGAAAGTTTTTCTTTTTCGGGCCACCCTGCCTTGGTGGGAATCGGCCGGTGTGATAATAAAAAAAATAAAAAATAAAGCCAGAGTATTTTTCCAGAATGGTTTGTAATATTCCACTGTGGATAAAATATTTTGACATTTCTTGAACATTTCCAGTACATAATTGCATAATGATACAAGGTATGATGTATTCCAGTACATAGTGATGCAAGGCATAATGGATTCCAGTACATAATGATGCTAGGTATGATGTATTTCAATATATAATGATGCAAGGTGTGATGTATTCCAGTACATAATGATGCAAGGTATGATGTTTTCCAGTACACAGTGATGCAAGGCATAATGTATTTCAATACATAGTGATGCAAGGTGTGATGTATTCCAATACATAATGATGCAAGGTGTGATGCATTCCAGTATATAATGATGCAAGGTGTGATTAATATATTCCAGTACCTAGTGG